TTACATGTCTGAGTCAGGAAAAGTGCCCCTGAAGTGATACCTTCATATACACTTCATATACTCGCTGAGAACCAAAATGAGCTCTTCAAAAACCCAAATAAAAATCAATAAAATCATCTCACATAGCTACGTAAATGGGATTCCATAGCTAATGTCCAGCTCAACATCCCACCATCCAAGCCTTAGCCTGACAGAACTGCCAAAGGTCATCCAACCTCAGAGCTGATTGGCCTATGGCAAATGATAGCTAAATTAATCATGAACATATAGATGCAGTAAATGTAGGCCATTTTGAGCCAATACCTAAGTATCCAATATAATATATTTATCTTTCGGTAATCAAATGCGGCTGACAATGGAAGATTCCCTGCACATGAATGTTAAGCGTGGGAAAATCATTGAAAATCATCTCACTAACGGGTGGTTTCCCATTGCCGGGTTCCATTACCAAAGGGTATAGGAAATCATGTGCTGGAAAGTTTCTTTGTAGTTCCGTCAGCACCCATTTGTTCCGAACCACAAGTACATTGCTTGATTTATATAATATTTGAAATCCCCATGTTTGAGTGTGAAATCTTCAGTTTGCTTGGGTATGCTTGAGTGACCCCTTGTTTTGGCAAGCCATCTTATATCGCCATGGTGACTGGCGAACATCCCTGATATTCCCTGATGCATCAGAGTGACAATGAGCAATACAAGGTCACAATCAATTATATGTACTCTAGATATTTACACATGGCTGAATGATAATAATTCTCCCACCGAAAAAAAAACATAATAACTGTGACATACTGGGACCATTTGCGGATTATTCCCCTTACTAAGCATCATTCGATAGACATCAGGCCATGATCTGGCACTTGGCGGTTGATCTTCATTGATTTTCCATAGCACACTGTGAAAGTACCCGCAACCTAAGGATGGTGTCAACATGTTTTAAGCAAATTATGATAACTGGGTAAATTCTGACTGTCCAATATATTGCACATGTGTATCTATATATGCATATTATGATATACGTGGGTGATTAGCAACTTTTGCTTCCTGCTTTGGATGAATTGGCTCCAATCCGTCCAAAAAATCAACCAGCGGTGGTTGAAGAGCAACTCTTTCAACTTGCTTTCGCGTTGATCCCTGCGAGCGGAGTTCTTAATGACCCTCTTCTTGCCCAAGTAGGACCTGCAGAAGCGGTCGGAAACCCAGTTCTGGATGTTCAGGGATGCCAAAACCTGGATCCATCCCACCTCAGTGCAAAATTCAACAAGACATCCCCAAAGATTTGCGGGGCTGGATTTGGTCAGCCGGTGCCACTGTAATTCACCAAGTGTTCCTGGTTAAATCCTTACCTTTATTCGCAAGGAAAAAGATGTTTTTTTCGCCGATGATATTCCCGATTTCTGCTCCTACATCTTTTTTCTTTGCTAAAAATCCTGGGAATCCTGGAGTTCAATGTGTATTTTGCTGTTTGACATACGTATTTTTCCCAGAACAAATCTCCATGCAAACGGCAGTTGGCCCCGTTCACCGCCTGGCGCCGTAGTGGTACAAAGTGCAGCGGGAGATGAGCCCGTCTCGCCCTGCTCGGCCCACTTCCTGCGACTTACCCTCCTCAAACATGGCTAGCTGGGAGAAATCCCATGAAATCCCCAATATAAATGGAGCTTTATGGAGCTTTATGAAGCTTTATAGCTGGGAAAATCATTCCAAATCATCTCGAAACTGTAGATGTTCCATTGCCATGCCAGGGTTTCCGGGGCAGCAGCAGCAGGGCAACAGCAGGGCAACAACTATACTACCACAGCAACCACAACAACCACAAAATCCTAACAACAAAGAACTAAACACAAGAACAAAAAACAAAGTACAACGAAACCAAGGGAAATAAAACACAACAAAACCAAAGAAAAGAAAGGAAAAACAAAAACAACAGTTGACCCCAAATATCTACACATTTGGAAACAAGTTGAATTGAGATGCAAAACAACCATATGTTGATGCAATACATTGGGTTATTCAATGTTATTCAATCCCCCTTGAAATTCGGCCCGAGAGGATGGGCCCACCAAAGTGTAGGGTGCCCAGCCTACCCCCCTACAAAATGGTATGGGGACACCTACAAAATGGTAGCGCCCATGGGGGTTGCTGCCTACAAAATGGTGGCCCCAGGGTACCCCACCTGCCCACCAACATCAAATATTTTGGGTTAACATAGTGTCCAAAAAACTGTGAAAAATGGGAGAACCATTTTGTAAGACACAAAGCAACCCTGTGGTCGCACCCTGGTCTTTTTTGGGCGACCAATTTGTAGACAGTTTACTCTGAATGAAATTTCTTCTTAAAATCTCTCAAGCAATCCTTGCATATCTCAAATTTTTGCATCTTGTGCATCTGGCAATCGGGTTTCATAAAGTATCGTCCAACAGAAGTAGTCAGATAGACTGGACCGAAGTAGTGGTCATCGCTTTTTTTTCTGGACCGGGGCTGGTTTCAAAATTTTGGAGGCTTTGGAAACTTTGCGATCATCTCCACCGCAAAATCCACATGGTCGGCTAATATTTTTTGTGTTCAAATATATTTACATTTGTGGATGTATTTATCAACTCCCCTTACCCATCTACAAAATGGTATTCCAAATCTTCTACAAAATGGAGGCGCCTGACACTGGCATATGATCTTGTTCTCATATAAAGTGATGTTGGGTGTGTATAAACAAGTCTCTTTCTACAAAATGGAGTGCCCCGACGGCAGAAAAAAAACAATAAAATCTGATTTATAGGGGGCCCAGGGCCTACCATTTTAAATGGGATGGGCCCACCAAAGTGTAGGGTGCCCAGCCTACCCCCCTAAAAAATGGTATGGGGACACCTACAAAATGGTAGCACCCATGGGGGTTGCTGCCTACAAAATGGTGGCCCCAGGGTACCCCACCTGCCCACCAACATCAAGTATTTTGGGTTAACATAGTGTCCAAAAAACTGTGAAAAATGGGAGAACCATTTTGTAATACACAAAGCAACCCTGTGGTCGCACCCTGCTCTTTTTTGGGCGACCATTTTGTAGACAGTTTACTCTGAATGAAATTTCTTCTTAAAATCTCTCAAGCAATCCTTGCATATCTCAAATTTTTGCATCTTGTGCATCTGGCAATCGGGTTTCATAAAGTATCGTCCAACAGAAGTAGTCAAATAGACTGGACCGAAGTAGTGGTCATCGCTTTTTTTTCTGGACCGGGGCTGGTTTCAAAATTTTGGAGGCTTTGGAAACTTTGCGATCATCTCCACCGCAAAATCCACATGGTCGGTTAATATTTTTTTGTGTTCAAAGTTCAAATATATTTACATTTGTGGATGTATTTATCAACTCCCCTTACCCATCTACAAAATGGTATTCCAAATCTTCTACAAAATGGAGGTGCCTGACACTGGCATATGATCTTGTTCTCATATAAAGTGATGTTGGGTGTGTCTAAACAGGTCTCTTTCTACAAAATGGAGTGCCCCGACGGCAGAAAAAAAAACCATAAAATCTGATTTATAGGGGGCCCAAGGCCTACCATTTTAAATGGGAAATGTCAACGGGGATGTTATTCATATATATATCTCTCTCTCTCTCTCTCACTCATTTTCTACGTGTCCACGCTTGCTTTTAGGGAACAACATGACTTGCAATTTTTGCTTTAGACCCATTGTTTTGAATCATGCATTGTGATCTACAGATGCTCCGCGACTCCGCGCGCTACAACGGAACAATGGACAGCTCTTGAAAGTTCGACCGTGGAGTGTTCTTCCACAACATGACTTTGAACGGCTGTCGGATGCCTTGTGCGGTTTATCCGCCCCAAAGCCAACACAAGTGCTTGCTATTATCTGGTTGTACCTTTTTCAGCCAAAAAATGGCCAATCCAATTCTAGAACGCCCACCCCCCTTTTAAAGTCGCCCGTTTTGGAGGAATGTCAGCCGTTTCTATCCCATTCCAGCCGCTTCCTGGTAGTACTGGGCCACACCTCGAAGAAAGGTTTCCATGCCAAGCCCCTCATGAGTGGAGGTTTAGTCTCCTCTATAAGCCATAGGATCCATGTATATATGGCAACATGGATCCCATCAATATACCCCAGTCATGTTAGCATATATATCAGCACCATGGATCCTATATGGGTAAGCATGTTCCAGTTCCTACGCCCGATTCCGAAAGTTGGTGACCTGGAAATCTCTGGAAATGGGGACATCATCGAACGCCACGCCACTAGCATCCTGGAAATACGGGTGATCTGACTCTTAAGGAATTTTATGGAATTTTCACATATTTCACTAACCTAAAATAAGCCTATGTTGGGATACCCTCTGGTAAATTGACTTGTGGACCCTGAAAATAGCACAGTTTCAATGGAAACTAATCTTCCAACCTCTATCTGCCAGGGTCTATGTTAATTTACCAGAGGGTAAGTCCCCTTACTAACCATCATTCCAGGGTTCGGTCACAGTGAGGTCGTGATATTATAATTTACCCTGAATAATCTTGACCACAACTGCCATAATGGTTCCAAAAACTTGATTGGTGATTTCAACCCATCTGATTAAAAATACGGGAAAGTCATTTGGGATCATCATCCCGTTTCTATGTACAGTATATATATATATTTATTTAACATCAAAACCAAACATATAATTATATAGTTACTGTAAGAATCACATATTCCCATCCATCGACTTATCATCATTGTCCAATATATTGCCACCAACCAGAATGTTGAATCTCGACTGTTGTGATTTTGTGTTGTTTAAACATGCCTTTAGCATGAAAGATCAGCCTCTTGGGATCCAAAACGATCACATGCTCAAGCAAAGAAAAGGCCGAAGGAGAAAAAAAACAACAAATTACTTGGAGCACCCGGACATGTGATTTATACAGAACGTGTTATAATTTGTTCCACCTATTTACGGCAAACACCGTATATGTGTTCAACCTGTTTACAGCAAACACCAGTGCTGACCTGTCGCTGCTACCCTGACGACCCAAAAAAACCACGCGCCGCGCCGATCGATGACGTCGGGGTGCTGTTGGGCAAGCCGACATGGATCACGAAGCGCGCATCTGGCCTCCCAAAAACGCGGTGTTGGCGGTTGAACCGGTCTGGAAAAAAACGCATATATATACATACATACATACATATATATATATATATATAATGAAATATTAGGGAAATAAAAAACATGTTCTTTTTAAGAACCTGGTTTTTGTTGTCAATCCCCGGCTTTTTTCACTGGCCCTACAATTTTGCAGGTCCCCGGTTCTCTTGGTATATCATCATCCCAATGGATGGGAGTCTTGGAAGGCACCTGGAGCACGTACCAAAGAACTGGCTGAAAATGGATCTTTCAAACCAGAAACGAAACCCAAAAATGGGTTAGCTTCTCTTATCTAAACTTGGATTTGCTTAAGGACCCCCCAAAACATGAACAATATTCCCTATAGATTCCCGAAGTAGTGGATGTTCTAGTGGGGAAATCTGCCAAAATCATCTTCAGCAAATTTCAGCAAATCCAAGTAAAACTATCTAATGTCTAAACCATGATTCCTGTGGGGTGGCCAAATGGCTGGCAAAGTGAAAAGATACCACCTGAGACCTCCATCAAGTCAAGCCTTTATTGACCCATGGCATGTCTATGGCTACTGTTCGACATCCTGCCCCCGAAGGAGAAAAAACAAACAAAACAGTTTTACTGTAGATTTGATGTTTATCAAAATTGGCAAAAAACATTAACCCGTCTTCACCTACCAGTTATATAGCCAGGTATACCCAAATATGTTTCCGCATTGTTGTCCTGTAAAAACATTTTTTCTCGTGGTTAAGCCCTGATTTTGGTTGCTTCAAGGACCCCAAAGCCTCCCCATGCCCCCCGCACCTGTCAATGCCCATGCCAAAGGCGCAACTGGCTACAACCACATCTAGCCTGAGTTCCCGTTGAAGGCACGACTTGGAAACAGAATTTGATCGCCATGTCCTTGGTTGTAGTTCTGGATCTGTCTTGAACATGGGGTAGACCTCCAAAATGACATGTTTTTTAAACGGGAACATGATGATTCACCTAGCTTTAGGGGCACCCTAGGAAACAAAGCCATATGGAGGTTTCCTAAAATGAGGGTACCTATGGGTACCTCCAAATCATCCAATTAAACCATGTTTAGTATGTATTGAAATCCAATTCTTTTAGGGATCGCCCATTTTAAGAAACCACCATATCCTAGCACTGATAAGCTCAGACTTTGGTGACACGTTTTCTCTCTTTGAAGAGGCCCAAATGGACTGAAGCATGATGCCTGCGAGATATGCTGAGGCTGTCAATACTGTGAAAGCCAATTATCGGTGGTTGCCTCCCCCCAACACAATATTCCTCAATTAATGTCCGCATTGTTGTTGGCAACTACGGCTGATCCGGCACATATCTCTGTGATCCCTAGTTCAATTTTCTGCTGAGGTTTGCTTGAAAACGGGGAAGCCATAATTCCAAAGGTTTATCTTGGCGGCATTCCCAATATCCCCATTTACATTTCACTCCTCCATCGCCCTGGCAAAAGGACTTCAGCAGAGCTAAAATGATTAAAATGGGACTGCTGTCCAGTCACTTTTTTTCTTGCCACTTCCTCAGTCCCCAACGCTCTGCGGGCATCTCAACACAGTTTGAACGGCTCACTGGGTGGAGACATTGCATGGATTTCGGGGAAAACAAAGTAATTAGTGTAAACCAGGGCAGTTTGCAACCCAAAGATGCGGCTTTTTTTCCTCCCTTGAAACAATATGCTGACTGCCAAAGAGCTGCCCCAAAATTGAACCTGACGGAACCCTGCAAGATTGCACATCCACACTATCATGCCGCACGTGACATTCTCACCTGACCATGTGACCCATGTTTTGTGCCATTAACCCCTTTTCCCTAACATTAAATACCTCCAAACACCTCCGGTTTTGTACTTGCCCTAATTTTTTTGTGGGGCTTATTTGGGCGTTATATGGTGGTATTTACTGTCAGGGGGAACTACCCCTTCAACAGGTCAAACAATGTCTTTATGCAACACGAGCTGTGTTTTCCTCAAGTTCCCAGCACAACCCCGCCAAAACAAACATAGAAACAAATAACAAATGTTGTACATTGATCGGTGGCAGGATTCCTTTGCTTGGCTCTCCTTCGTTTATTTGGGGAAGGGGGAACTATCCACTAATTAATCAACATCCTAATATCAAACACCCCCTCCCATATCATCAATCCCATAACCATGGTTTCTGGGGAGTGTTGAATATTAGGGGAAAGAGATCGATCTACAGCACTACAAAAGATGAGACTTGTTCTGAACGCTGGGAAAATCAGCCTTTCCTCCAGCAAGTTTAGAGCCGAGAGGCATGGACACCTCTGTCCTCATGCTGCGGCAGCCATATCAATCCATGGGAAAATGCTTTAACCACTTCTCTCAATGGATTGGTTGAAGTATGTTGAAGTGAACATCTACAAAAAAGAAAACATATCCATGCAAAAATGACCGTACAATAATTGGGATTAGTGGATTGTGAAAAAAGGGGAACTTTAGGAGAACCTATTGTTTGTGCCCCTAAATGTAGGAGGTTCCTGTAGGTGTTACCTTGAACCAGCTCATGGATTTTCAGAGTTGTGATTTCAACCTATCCCAAGAAAATGACGTTTGGATTATCATCTCATGCTGTTGAGGGAAAAACAGAAAAATTGAAAAAACACCAACCCCATTTCAAGTGTTTTCAAGCACACCTTCTGTTAAAATCCCAATTATTCGACAAGCATTTCACATGCCTTGCAGTAGCTCTGAACATCGCCGAATTTGGGATCATCAAACAACTGAGGTGACTGAGGTCTTTACAGAGCTCAGACTATAACTATAGCTACCACATGCTACCACCATTGGCTCAAAATGTAAACACCAGAATGTTAGTACTTCAACCCAGTCTTATCGTTAATTTATGTTAATTCTATGGCTACTTTGAGTGTCTTGAAGCCTTGGCGGATGTAAAATCCCAAAATCCCAACTCCGCCATGGCTGCTGCGATCCTCTCATCATCTTCCAAGTCTGCGTGGTATTTGCCCACCCGGTGAGAGGACCTGAGAGCAGCGATGACTGGGGATACAGGTGAAAGTCACTACCCCCCTGTGGGAGTTTGAGTGGTGAATTTCATATGCTTCTAGCTGCTATATGTGTTATATCATAATTGCTTAAATTCAAATTCGATACTAAAACTGTTGAACGATTTTTCAAACTTTCCAAAACATGTTGCAACAAGGATCAAGACATTCACAGTAAGAGGGGACAGGAAGCCATGGATTTCTTTCCCTTCTCGAGGGTGGCCTCAGGTCCCCTGATGTTATCCCATGGCATCTCTGAATTGATATGTTTTGTTGACTGATGGATATAGATTGTAGATATATAGGCTATAGGCTTGGATGCCTCCTTCAAAAACGCTTTAAAAATCTAGGACCTACAATCATTTTATTATCCCCTGGTTGAAAGATTGGCCCAAAACAAACACAGGTCAATTAGTATTAGTAGCTGGCGTTCTTGACGCAAACCAATGATGTCCTTCAGCGAACAAAAAATACAAAAGGGTAAGGCAGACTGGGGATCAAATGCTGGACTGCTTGTTCTAAGGGATACCATCTGGTTATTTAACATAGCCATCGAAAATCACCATTTTTAATAGGTAAACCATCTATTTCTATGGGCCAACTATACCATGGTTATGTTTTACAACCAGAGGGTACCACACTGTTAATGAACCAAAGCGTGCAAATTGCGGCAAATCTTAACATACACTTGAACTCCAAACATCTCCGAAGCATTTCAAGAGAAGATACCACTAATCCTAAACACCGTCACTATGGCAAGGACAGCCAAGCAACGAGAACCATGACCTGTAGTATTTGATTGGGTTCATCAAACACTTTTGTTGTTTGAATCAAGTTTTTTGATCTTATTATATATACATGTATGGCTCAAAAATGAGCAATCTACACATCTCTCAGGATATAGACCAATAGGAAACTAGCCAAGGTTTACCAGACAAGGCTTGGCGGCTTGGTGGCGGCTCAAAAATCCTATGGCTCAACATTCCTTGAAGCTATCTTCCTAATGCTGGAAGGGTAGGCCTTCCCCACAACTTCCAGGTGGAAGCTGAGCGTCTGACTCTCAGTGTTTTGTTTTTTGCTCCCAGTTTCTAAACTACCCTCTGGTTATGACTAACATAGCCATGGTATAGATGGCCCATTTAGTTCGATGGTTTACCTATTAAAAATGGTGATTTTCCATGGCGAACTGTTAAATATCCAGAGGGTAGTCTAGAACAATCGTTATGTTGGCGTGTCAATGGATCGAATCAACCAACAATCGCAGACACGAAATTCTCAAGAAGGGACCGCTGCTGACGAATAACCTATCATTCATGGGTAGCCTTGACTTCCCCTCCCAAAATATCATGTTTGACCTGTTGAGTGTATCTTAGTGTTATATTTATTATGGAATATGCCTATGTTCCTCCATTTCTCCCCAAAGTCGAACCCATCAACCAATCCTAGACACATATGCATGCATACCAATTTAGGCGTCTGCACTAATATGTATGTTTGTATGTCTGTATGTATGCATGCATGTGTGTACAATATATATATATATATATATTGTTCTAATGTGTTAATGTTATGTATGTATGTATGTATGTATGTATGTATGAATGTATGTATGTATGTATGTATGTATAACATGTATGTGTATATGTAATGTGTGTGTACATTGCATTTCTCCATGCATCGCCAGCAATCAACTAATCAACCACCACCATAGCTTATCCAGCCAAACAAACCGCAACTTGTCCCTTCAACCCAATAATATCATATGATACATACATATATATATATATATATGCACAATAGTTTTATCCTATTTATATTATATACTATATAATATCATGCAAACCCAATATTTATTGCTGCCTTGACACCGCCAAGAATTTTGTCGCAGCTTGTCATACAACTGGTCGACCGCTTTCTTGGAGGAGCAGAAAATGATTCCAGCTTCGAGCGGATGTTGTTGCCTCGCGGCATCTCGGGGCATGGGGCGTCCTAGTTCCCAACCCTCCAAACCAACCCAAATCAGCAGTTAACTGCTGGTTGATATTAGTAATCCCTCAAACATATACTTTGATATCAGACATCAAGAAGAAACCAACAAAAATGATATATATATATATATAGTAATTAACCACCCAATACAAATAATGGATAACAACATATCTCAAAGTTCATCAAACTTTATCCATTTTCATATGGCCCTTTTTTTTGCTGTCGAAGAGGCAACTCGGTGAGAACCGAGTTGAAGGCCATTTTGCTGGATTTCACCTGACGGATCGCAAGGTGCCTGGGCGCGATCCGTAGCAGGGGGGCACAGTGGACGAACCAAAGAATTTCAGCATCGAACATTTTTTCTGGTTGGTGGTTTCAACCATCTTGAAAAATATGAAAGTCAATGGGAAGGATTATCCCATAAATTATGCAAAATAAATAATGTTTGAAACCACCAACCAGTTTTCTTTGAGCCTTAAGAGCGTTAAGAGGGTTAAGAGGATTCAATTCTACAAGATCTTGGATTCAAAAGTAGCCCCTCATTCACCCAGATCTACCCGGCAATATAGGCAAATCATGCCACATCATTCCAGTTCTCTGAAAATAAACAGGTTTTGGAGATGATTATTCCTGCTCATCAAATCTCATCAACAGAAATGTTAGACTCACTGGAGGGAACATTTACGCTTCAAACCATTGTCGTCTACTTATTAGCCTCTGGTGTGATCAAACGTGGCTAGCTGGGAAATCCCCGAACTAAATGGAGCTCGGAAATGCCTCTATGAATGGGCAATTGTCCATTGCCATGTTTGACTACCCGAAGTATATATCCTATTCATATCCCATTAATAGTCCATTCATATTCCCCCGAACATCTAGTATTTTTCTGTGAAAAATGTCCCGTCATTCAGTGGCGAGTTGCAAATTCAGTCTCGCTTGCTGCGTCAAATGACCTCGCGAGCTTGGGGCATTTCGAGATCGGAATATTTTACCAATAGTTACCCCCTGGTGAGATAACATAGCTATGGGAAATCAACAAAATTTAATGGCTAAAGCATCTATAAACGGTTCGTTTTCTATAGCTATGTTATAAATTGCAGGAGGTTAAATGAATATTGTTCCTTTCACAATCCCAATGCAACTGTAGTAAAAAAACATTGAACAAATGCTGCACAGAAAACTTTAGACCAACGTTTCGACCGCAAAATCCGGGCAGGTTTAAGCGTGGATCTGTGGCATCACAAGCCCATAGCCTTAGAATGGTCCGCTAAAGTGTTGGTGTCCGCCCCACCCCAGTTAAACAGTTGGTTTATAAACCCCATATACATATATTTATCATAGACCGTACTGAATCCACTTACCAACTTAGCTATCTAGGGGAAACCACCTTCTAGCGACAGTTTCGCTGTGGGTCCAATCACAACTCAACCAGCGTCCCATTGCTGCCAGCACCTGCCATGATGTCGCTTCTTTGTCAATACCAATGCTTATGTGCAAAAGTGCATGTTGATATCCAGGTCTGTCTTTCTCTACCTGTCCCTCTCCATTTCTACAAACTATCAAATATTTGCATCTTTGCATCAAATAGAATAAAGAACAAGTCAACGAAACAGTGCAACCTGGTAGGTGATTTCCACACGTGAAAAATATTATCGTCAATTGTCAGGATCATGGGGTCGAACATAAAACATATTTGAAACCATCAACCATGTTCCATCTTCAGGATAGAAATGTTTTCTGATAATATCTTCGGCAAATCTGACAATTAATACCACTAAATTGTTGGATATACCTGATATAGCACTAGTTGGGCTGACTTGTTCTGGCCCCAAATGGTTGGTAGTTGGGGATGGTTCATTCTTGGGTTTGCCACCTTCCTACCGTACCAGGTAGGGCTCCTCATCGCGCAACACCCTGCAGCTGTGCCACATGCCGGGTTCACCAAACCCAGCTGTTTTTTGATGTCGCCTCGGGACAGGGGCCCGTGGCACGATAGGTAAATGATGATATTAACATTATTAACTAACAAAAATTGGGACCCAGCACAATATGAAAGCTAACTGTTTTATATAGTCAAATAGAGTTTTCAAACTAACTCAGAACTGGGCCACCTCTGTCCGTTGAGAGCCTAATTGTGAAGATGGTTAGAGATAACGATCACATTTGGTACCTTCGTGGAAAAGGGTTTTCCCCATGGCTTCCCCAGCCACTGTGCCACCAGCTTTCAGCATGTTTTGGTGACATTAGAACTGTTTGACTGACTAATGACCTTTGGGCACCCGATAACAGGAACCATTTGTCACTTCATGGTTTTACGGGCTTCCCCATTTGCAACTTCCAGGTTTTTTTTTCTGACTTATTCTAAACTTACTGGTGCGTTTTACGCAGGGAATTTTCGGGAATGATCCATTTCATCACTAGTAATTTCATCATCCCAGCGACCCCCAGCAACCCATCCATTCCCTACGTAAAACCACCAGAAAGTAAATGCTTCACTGCCGAATTCCATGGGCTGAACGCCCGCTGAATCCTGAACATCCCCTGCATCCATGGACCGCTCTTGGCTGTCAGAGTGCCAACGTCACCCCCGGTTGTTTCAAAAAACCCCTGCTGGTTTTGTTACAAAACTATGAAAACTAGAAACAATCACTACAAAAACAGAGGTTATAAACTACAAAAACTTGCTGTAGTCATATAATTAAACAAGAAACAATCACTACAAAACTGCACTAACCCCCGGTGATATAGCCAAGTTTCTTTAGCAACACTTAATGGGTTTGCACAACATGAACCACAAAAAATCCATGGACCGTATTTTCGTGCATATTTTTTGGTCAACTATAGTAATTCCCCAATTTGAAATTTAATAAGTGACATTGCAGTTACGTTGTGATTGAATTCACTCAAAAACACGCACAACTCCATGTTTCTTCTTACACTAAAACAAAAAAACTAATTCATCATCAAACATCATCAACAGAAATTCATGAACAATTTAAATCACCCAACTTAAATATCAACTTCATAACCAGAGGGTAATCTCCCATTAATATCCCATTGAATCACTATAATATCCCATTAAATCACTATAAATCCTATAAAACCCCATTAAATTCCAGTAAAATCCCATTAAATCCCATTAAATCACTATAAATCCCACTAAATCCCATTAAATTCCAGTAAAATCCCATTAAATCCCCCCAACACCTCCCCCAAAAAAGGCCGTGCTGCGCTGGGTCTTCTCGTTGGCCGTGGCCGTGAAGGCCTGGACCGGCAGCTGCAGCTCGGAGGCGAAGAGGCCGATCTTCCTGGGAAAACATGGGATATTAATGGGATTTAATGGGATATTAGTGGGATTCATAGTGATTTAATGGGATTTAAAGTGATTCAATGGGATATTAATATTACCCTCTGGTAAACTAACAGTTTGCTATTGAAAATGGCCATAGAAATAGTGAGTTGTCCCATTAAAAAAGGTGATTTTCCATAGTTATGTTAGTTTACCAGAGGGTATTTATAAATATAGAACACACACACACACATATATATATATATATGTATAGATAGATAGATTGATAGATAGATAGATAGACAGATAGATAGAAGGATGGATGGATAGATAGATAGGTGGATAGATAGGTAGATAGATAGATAGATCGATCGATCGATAGATAGAGAGAGATAGATAGAGAGAGAGAGAGATAGATAGATAGATAGATCGATAGATAGATAGATAGATAGATAGAAAGTTAGATAGATAGATAGATAGATAGGTAGATAAATAGATAGCTAGATAGATAGATAGATCGATAGATAGATAGATAGATCATATAGAAATAGACATTGGGAAATATAGACATACATATTAGATGTAGATATTATTGATATTAGATATGGATTTATATATATATATAGGTATATACATAGACATACATATATACATCTACATATATATAATATAGAGATACAGAAATAGACATGTGGAAATATATATATATAGATATTAGATATGGATATTGGATATGGATAAAAAAAATATATGGATATTATAGATATTAGATATGGATATATATACTATGCGTTATATATATATATATGTTTAGAACTAATGCAGATAAATAGTGATCTATATAGATAGAATAGTTATCACATGTTGGTTCACCCAGTTGGAAAATAGAATCATCCAGAAAATATGGAAATAGGGACTTTCATCACATGGAGGTTTCTTAAAGGGTTCTCCAAGCCACCATGGCGTTCAATACTAAGTCATGGTCATCCATAACGGCTGGATGATGACTGGGGTATCGGTATCCCTATGACTTAAGAAACCTCCGTGGAATGAAATACACATGGATATATATATATATGGATGGATATTTCTTAAAAGTAAAAGTTTGCAACATGGAAAAATCGGCACTGTGAAATCAGTCATGGTAAATCATCAATCTGCAGGCCATGTTGATCCATTTTGCATATCTATCAAGTGTGAAATTATCAGAGGCTACGGTCGGATTCCGTCGCCTCAAACTATGGGAAACTCGGAAACTCGGAAATTATCAATGGCTATATATCTGGAAAAATACATTCCAGAATCCAATGCTCTTGCAGTGGATCATCTGAAACAGACTACCTACATCATCCTCCATCTTATGTTCAATCTATGTTCAAACAATAACGGGAAAACATGGGAAAACAAAGCAGTAAGAAGTGGGAAGATCCATAAGTGTTGTTTATCCAAAACAAGATCCATAGGATACCATCTGGTTGTGTTCGCCATGGAAAATCACCATTTTTAATAGGTAAACGATCTATAAATGGGCCATTTTCCATGGCTATGGGTAACTTTTATGGATCTTCTCACGTCTGCCTGCGGTTGACCCTCTCTAATTGCTCTGGCTGGACCTTGAAAATTCCCGGCCAACATGGCGAAACTTACAAAATCATACGGCTACTGCATGGTTCCTTTTCTCAGACATGTTTGAATAAAAGAGATTCTTATAGATTGCTAGCTGCTACATATCCAATACATTATATATATGTATATATATATTCAAGATTATCAAGTAATTAGTTCCACCATCAACCTGGCTGAAACTAACCCATCTTCACCGACCCAAAGCTAACATGGGCCATGTTTCCGATACTCTTCCCGGAAATCATGGCCCCATTCCTTGACACAGGCAGGTGATGTGAGGTGGGTTGCTCTCCCTGAATCCGGAGACGTATCAGTGCATGGGAATCATATAGAATCAAATCTGGTTGGTGGTGCAATAACCATCTTGAAAAATATGAGTTCGTCAATGGGAAGGATGACATCCCATATACTATGGAAAAAGAAACATGTTCCAAACCATCAAACAGAGATCTACCTTTCTATCTTTCTATTTCTATGTTTATTTCTATCTATCTATCTATCCACCTATTTATCTACATCTATGTTGGCCAGGAGCAATGCCATTGCTATTGCCAATTTCGGCCATTCACCGAGATTTTGCCAAAGTTGAGTTTGTTCAAAAACACTTGGAATGCCGTTCTCCACCCTATAGTCTTTAACGGATTTGTTCCCTCATGACTAAAATAGCAATAGAAATGTTTGGAACATGTTTCTTTCACGATTTGTTCCATCTATCGATTTAAGCATCCATGGACACGGAGTGCATATCCCTCGAAATATCCCATTCAAATCTGTCTAAGTAACCACATGTAACCACACAAACCGATAAATGAGAAAAACAACATCCACAAAAACATTGGTAAACCTTTCAAAGAAAAACAACAAATCCAAGGGGGGGACAACAACACACATCCCAGGTTTTCATCCAAAAACAAAATGGACCAAAATCTCAAGTTTATTCCATCCAAAAAATTATCTATCTATCTATCTATCGATCTAACTATCTATCTAATCTATCTATAGCAGGTTTTCTTTACAAAAAGACGCATCATCCAACATGACCCATCCACAACCAGGCAACACTGACGCAATGGGCTTCATCCACCACCAGGCGTTGCACTTTGTAACGAAGCTGCTGGAGATCCAAAACGAAACTTCTCCTTGGGCGCTACCACTAAACTAACATAGCGAAGCCATGGGCCCATTTGTTGATTTACCCGTTTATAAATAGATATTTATAGTTGATTGCCGATTAAAATTGTCATGTATAGATCATTTACCCATTAAAGATTATGATTTACCAATTGAAAATCGTGATTTACCCATTGAAAATGGTGATTTTGCATAGCTACGTTAGTTTACCAGAGGGTATGAACTGATGAATTGCGACTCGCACTGGCGAAGGTTTGCGTGTTTTTTCCCCGAAGGACACTTTATAGTTGATAACTGATTTGTTTTTACGGTTATTGTGTTTAGTGAGGGGTTGACTCTAATAGTTGACGCAAAAAATACTCAAGTCCGTTTTATTTTGGCTGATGACAACTTTAATTCTGACAGAATTAGTATGTATCTATGTGTAACACGTGTAAAAAAAAGTGGGATCAGATCAAACCTATTATTTTCAAAACGATGTCCCCAAAGATTCAAGATCTTGCCAAACATGGATCCACGTAATTCTATAGCATCCGTGACAATTCATTGTTGAATGCCACTAGAATGGTCATTGATGTTTGAATGCAGTAACTGGATAACATTATTGATATGCCCCCAAAAAATGCGATTGCATTTCTTATTCAACAAATAGTTGAACACTGAACATCACCAAAATAGAGATAAATAACTCATGTGTGTGCTTGTGTGCGACTGCAACCTGCCGGCCAAAAGACAGTGGTATGATAGCGAATTGGAGACGTGGAAATAATGGTAAGTTCACTATCCTCCGCAACAACTTCTAACATCCTGACAAGACTTGTCTATCTGCTTGAGCGTCTGGCAATCGGGCACTAGCACTGAGGTCAGAAATAAACATCCCGAGGGTATATCGGACGTACACAAATATGATTTCTTCAAGTGAAATGGTTTGACTGAGCCCCAATGTGAATTCGGCCAATGATATTTCGTTCAATTCAATTGTTCAACCCCTCGAAGATTCCCATCTACTAAAGGAGCATACTTAAGTGCATATATATATATATATAAATATATATTTAAATATATATATATATACACATATGTATAAGGATTCGTTATACCCCTATCCAGTGGTTTATCGTGGTTCATCATCATTATTCATTATATGAATAAAGTTAAATCTATTTATCTATATATCTATCTATCTTTCTTTCTTTCTTTCTTTGTAATTATCTATCTATCTATCTGTCTGTCTATCTATCCATCTATCTGTCTGTCTGTCTATCTATCTGTCTATCTATTTATCTATCTATCTATTGTTTCTATTTATCTATCTATCAACCTCTCTATCTATCTATCTGGCTATCGTTCTACCTCTCTATCTAACAATCTATCTATCGATCAACCGATCTATGTATCTACCAATCTATCCATCTATCTATCTATCTATCTAGCTACCTATCTATCCATTGATCTATCTGTCTATCTCTTTATCGATCTATCTACATATCTACCTGTCTAGCTATCTATCTACCTTTCTAGCAATCTATCTGTCTGTCTGTCTATCTATCTAATTATCTATCTATATATCCATCTATATATATGTAATTATCTATCTATCTGTATGTCTGTCTATCTATCTATCTATCTGTCTGTCTGTCTGTCTGTCTATTTATCTGTCTATCTATCTATTTATCTATCTGTCTGTCTTATCTATTTATCTATCTATCTATCTACCTATCTATCTATCTGGCTATCGTTCTATCTCTCTATCCATCTATCTATCTATCGATCATCCGATCTATGTATCTACCTATCTATCGATCTATCTATCTATCGATCTATCTATCTACCTATCTAATCTATCTAATCTATCTATCTATCTATTTATCTATCTATCTCTATCTCTATCTCTATCTCTATCTCTATCTCTATCTATCTATCTTTCTCTATCTATCTATCTATCTATATATCTATTTCTATCTATCTATCTATCTATCTATATCTATCTATCTATCTATCTATCTATCTATCTATCTATCTATCTATCAATCTATCAATCTATCTATCTATCGATCTATCTATCTATCGATCTATCGACCTATCTATCTATCTATCAATCTATCTATCTATCTATCTATCTATCTAATCTATCTATCTATCTATCAATCAATCTATCTATCTATCTATCTAGTTATCTATCTATCTAACTATCTAACTTTCTAACTTTCTATCTATCTATCTATCTATCTCCACTGTATAATTTGTGTTTTTTTTTGTTGTCTCATGTTTCACCCAGGACCGCTGCCCAGAATCATGTCCAATCTTTCTGGGGAGACGTAGAGCAACTTCAGCTTCCCCGACTCCTGGGTGTGCCCCTGGTAGAGGCAACTGGAGGATTTGAACATGGCTTTTTAACATACACCAAATGGGATGTTAATGGGATATTAATGGCATACACCAAACGTATTTGTTGCATTTCTCGATTTTTTGTCATTTTGTTGTCGATATTCTTTGGAGTTCAATGTGTTTTTTTACAAGGCAAGGCATGCATGCTAGACATTGAGGACTGCGCTTCCAAGCTTTATTTCCAACTGGAGAAGCTGTTGCAAGCTGGTGACAGCACAGCTCACATCATCTGATTCCATCGAAGTTATTCACTGAAATGAAACGCAGCTGAAACTAAAGACAGAAACGCTGAAACTTACAACTGTTCTGTCTTGACAAATACCCAGGTTTGAGGATTCTCCAAACCTGTACGCATCTGTACGCCTCGTGTGGTGAAGATCACGAGAAATTGGAACTGCCCAATTTTGACCGGAAACTCATCTTAAAAATTGCGGATGTTCTACTGCCAAGTTAGCCGGTCAGTTTTTTTTTTCTCGGCTAGTGGAAACATGAAAGACTCAGCTTAGAGGGTTTCCAAATATCACACAGTCAAGTTGCAAGTTGCTTCCACACATTTCCTTGGACATGAGCTGACTCCGGCAAGCAAGTATGGACAAGTGATCACCATTGCCGTCAATTCCACCCAATTGGCATAAGTCAACACATCACTATCATCAACAACATCACCATCAACAACATCTTCGCGAGCATCGTTTCATGCTGGAACATCCCCCATTCCCTTCATCGATTCCGCATGTCTGGTGGAAAAAAAGGCTCCCAGGCACAAGACCAAGCGGGATGAGCATCCCATTATTAGCTAAAGGGACCAAAGTGACCAAATATATTCATTTATAAACCATCTATTTACATGGAATATACATATACGCTGTATATATACAACTATACTCATAATCATGCATATCCATATATATATACAATATATGTATATATATATGTGTAAAAATGGTATATATACAATTACAATATATTATAATCATAATCTAATATATACATATACATATACTGTGTCGACTTCTAACTGCATTTATTTATATATATATATATATGTATGTATGGAAGGCTCAGTTCTACCATTCAGAATTCTGAGTCCAACCATGACTTCGAAAAATCAGGTAAGATTCCCATGGATTAGCCTCAATTTTGCATAGGAAAACACACATCTATAATCATGTTAAATAGTGAATTACAAATAATGAGATATGATTATGATTGTGATTACAACCTGAAAAAATATAACTTTATCAGATAATCCCTCATCATGATGTATGGGTTCTCAACCATGTGCCCCGGCGTGCCGCGCCACGTTTTTCTCGCGGCTCCATGTCACTCCCCAGATGCGCCGCAGCAATGCCTCGTTTCTGGAGACCTCCCGGCGCCAGTGTCCACTCCATGTGAAACCTCCCAAAACCACATGATTTAATGGGATTTAATGGGATTTATATATAGTGATTTAATAGGATTTAATAGTGATTCAATGGGATATTAATGGGATATACCCTCTGGTGAACTAACATAGCTATTGAAAATGGCCATGAAAATAGTGGATTTACCCAAAAAAAAAAACAGTGATTTTCCATAGTTATGTAAACGTTTACCAGAGGGTATCAACAAAGCCTCCAAATTTGGATATCATTGTGTTTAGCACATTGAACAAAAAGGCGTTTTGTTCCGAACAAGTTCCCTTCGGTAAACCATGGCAAGTGGGAATCCCCGTTTTAAACAGAGGAATTACAGAGGTTTCCACAGTTAAGGCCCGAAATACCAGTTATAAGTACTAACAAAACCCCATTTATAGAATGTATAATCCCATTTATAACCACTTATATCTAATAAATGGCCATAACTGCATGGGAACATCATCCATAAATGGAGGATTGTTAATTGCCATGTTTCATTACCGGAGGTACATGTTCCATATGTTCCTCTGCAATGACTAATGGATGCCTCATCTGGATTTGTCTGGAAAAATAAGGCAAATGTGAATTAATCTTTTCCCGATCAGAAATGCCATAATCTGGGGGTACACCCACCAATTTTCGGACACTCTCGAACATCATGTTGTTGGTTATGTAACTTTTTTATATGCCATAACGTGCCATAACATATTCCAGTAGAATTATATATTATACCCCCCATGTTTGTTGGGCAGGCCACCCTAAATACCCATCCACATATATATATATATATTATGCATGGAACTAAAGTGATAAATCATCAACATGTTCCCATGTTTCGTTGGTTAAATCCCATGTCATGCCGGCACTCACCGCCCTGCAGCCCTGCACCTTTCACTTGATCTCGCATCAAACTCAGCAGGGGCGAAATCACTAAGGTCAAACCTGCCAAGTCTCGGAGACGCGTAGCTGAACAAGCATCGTGTGCATGGTGAGATCATGGTGATCAATAGTGATGGTTAGATAAGTTTGACAATGCATGCACAAGATACATGTATTTATATATATATGTATGTATGTATGTATGTATGTGTGTGTACATATACACATACAATGTCATGTTAAACATATACTATATCAAATATAGATAGCTAGGTACATAGGTCGATGAAAAGAATTAACCTGGTCCCAGACCCTGATATGTTCAACGTAATTATTATAAGGTATAGTAGCTGGGTGATATATGCTCCTTACAAATCCTGATGCCATTCTAACATATAGTCTTAGCTGGATGATCTCTTCCCAAAAATGGGCTGCCAATCAAACTGCTTGGACTTAGCACCGGAAAACGCAAATTCACATAGACCCTGAAAACATGTTTTTGTTTCAGTGGGAAGTCAACTTCTAAGCATTTCCAAGCCCTTAATTTTGGGAGGGGTCTATGTTAAATTTTGGGTTTAGGACCTCTTTGTTCCATATGTTTTCCATCTCCAAACTTTTTTTAAGGTGATGTTTCCCTCGCCTAAGAGCAGGGCAGGTGCTTGGAAGCACACGGACTTCCCAGCGGCTGTGGGCCTTGGCTCGCCATGTGCAGGGATGCCCATGGATATAGCTATTTTGGGTTAATATATGTTAATATGGTGTTGATATGGTATAAGTATAACTGGTATAATATATCATAATTCAATATACTAAGATACATGTAATGTTAGAACGTGCATACATACACACACATGTGTATTTATATATATATAAGTTGGGTTGGTAGCTGGAAAAAATCAGGCAACTATGACTGGAGACATCCATGGATCTACCGTATATTCAAACGGCTTATAGCTTCTAAACATGGTTATGAAACAATTATTTGAGGGACCTGAGTTAAAACATGTCGAAGTTGACACATGCAATGTCAAGCGGTATCCCTATAGAGAGGCCTATCGGTTTCAAGTGGGATTTCGATTTCAAGCATAATTACATCATATGTATGGCGCGAAGGCAAATGGCCTCAAGTCAACACACTAGCTATGGTTGTTTTTGTAATGTTTTTGTGTGAAATATTGGTTGTTCCTTCATTCTCCTGCATTTATTGTTGGAAAATATTCGGACACAAACGTCGTCAAACCTCTCTTTAGTAGAGTTTGTCAAGTAGCAAGTTCTTGCTTTGAGGGCTGCTGACAACACCAGCAACACAGAATGTGTACATCTAAGAATCCATCAGTCAGAACATTGCGCATGGTATTACAAGATCATTGCAAATGGAACGAACACATGGGAGAGTTGGACACAGGGAGGGAAAGGCATGTGGAATCCCAAACAATTCAGAGCTCGGAAGCCGTCAACCAAACTTTGCCTAGACATTGAAACCGCCAATCATAAATGGCAATCAACGGAATAGAAGAACCCAGTCCACATCTCACGAAAAATAACTTGTCCCCATGACTCAAAAGATCCTCACTCATTTGGTTGGTGAGCCCCTTTTTTTGTCTGTCCAACCTTCCATGGCGTTTTCCTTGGCCGCTGCACGGGCTTTCGTAGCATCCAGCTTAGTATCTGCCTTATTCACGAGATGGGATATATACTCCTGCAAGTTCAGTTGGCTTACAAAACCCATCCAACTTCTTCCAACTACGGATGGTATGAATTAAATATATATGTGTGTAATGATACATGATATCTATATGATAATTATATGAATATATATATATATATAGAAAGAGAGAGAGAGACAGAGAGAGTGAGGGAGAGAGGCAGAAAAATAGACAGACAAACATACAGATAGACAATACAAGACAGACAGGCAACTATTATATCATGATATATCCACCTTTACAACCCAACAGTTACCCAAGCCCTATTCCCTTTTCGGGGCGCATGATGACCAGCGCATCTTTGCCCTTCATCACCGAGCGCATGGCATCCGCTTGCCCTGGACGAAGGGTTTTTATGGACCAAAGCTGTCCTCGGTGGATGGAGAATGCCGCCATCCCGGATGGCAGAAGTAGATGTAGTGCTAGAAGCCCAAAAAAATGCATCTCTATCTCTATCTCTATTTCTATCTCTATTTCTATCTCTATCTCAGTCTATCTATCTATCTATCTTTCTATCTATCTATCTATCTCTATCTATCTCTATCTATCTCTATCTATCTCTATCTATCTCTATCTATCTCTATCTATCTATCAATCTATCTATCAATCTATCTATCTATCTCTATCTATCTCTATCTATCTATCTATCTATCTCTCTCTCTCTATCTCTCTCTATCTCTCTATCTCTCTCTATCTCTCTCTATCTATCTATCTCTCTATCTATCTCTATCTATCTCTATCTATCTCTATCTATCTCAATCTATCCCTATCTATCTCTATCTATCTCTATCTCTATCTATCTATCGATCTATCTATCGATCTATCTATCTATCTATCTATCTATCTATCTATCTATCTATCTATCTATCTATCTATCTATCTATCTAATCTATCTCTATCTATCTAATCTATCTCTATCTATCTAATCTATCTCTATCTATCTAATCGATCTCTATCTATCTAATCTATCTCTATCTATCTAATCTATCTCTATCTATCTAATCTATCTCTATCTATCTAATCTATCTAATCTATCTAATCTATCTAATCTATCTATCTATCTATCTTTCTATCTATCTATCTTCCCAACATATGGGCAAATTAAAATTGTTCCAAACCACCAACCATATATATATATATATAATTATACATCTAATTATGTATAGATGTTGGCTTCTTAGATGGACTCATTATGGGGATATGATGGAGTATTCACATGTATTCACAGAGAAATAGAGGTTTCAACCAGCAACATGCGGAGACTTAGGGAAAATATGGGTTTCCAACATAGTAACCTGCAACATAGTCACTTCCCAAAAGATGCCGAACAGTTTTCCCGGATGCGGAAAAAGTGATCTTGTTATCCCCATACTTTCCGGGTTCCCAATTTTCATTTTTTTTGTTGTGCTATAGTATACGGCAATGAACAATGGGACAACTTAGAGAGAAAAACATGGTAGGTGATGAAAATGTATGGCAAAAAACACTGATTGAACCAACATGATTAATGCGTTATGAAGATACATCCAACATTGTTCAACAATGTGGGGATGTTGGGACATCAATCAGCGGGGTCCTAAGTGGGTATTGAACCCTCAATCGACACGAGAACAAAATCCTGCTCATCTGTGTGGAAAATACAGCCCTTGCCACAAGTAATGTGACCCAAAAATATACCTCCACAATCCTCCACATTTTGGAGGTGTATAGTACCCATTTCCTGGTGATATTGGGGATGGTTTCTGATTTGTTGTGCAACATTAACAGATATTAATACCACTTCCAAACTCAAAAATCATCTGACAAACCTGACTTTGGGGGTTCCCAGTTGCCTTTCAAGGCGTCACTTCTTAGTCAGCACCCAGCCCTCAACCTGCTGCGACAGCGTCCAAGAACCCGTGGAAGCCTTCTGTGGACCTAGGGCGCCGGAGGGCACCGGATCCCCATGGAATTTTGCTTGGTAAATCCCAGTGGATTCATTCCATAAGACACCACAGATATTGAGGAATTATATATATATACATATCATGTGTTCTCCCCAAATGTACTATTCTATCCTCATAGTGTGATTTCTTCTGGTTTGTATACGCCCCCATAGAACTCCATGTAATTCCATGAAATCCCGGTTTTCATCTCCCCTGATTTCAGGTACTTGAAATGGCCATTGATACTGGCCATCAAGATAATATCCTTTGACTCAAGCAACACAAAAAGTCTCTAATGGAATTTCAGATTCATTCAACTTCCATAAAATCAGCAGTAAAATGTGAAATCATGATTAAAAAAAACATAAACACATCAACCATAAAATTGCCTTCCCGGCCTTTGCCAGCTCGGCCAATCCACCATCATCTGCAGCCCGCCGCCTGGTTTCCGTTTTGCGAAGTGGAAAATCATCGAATCAATGACCATTTCAGGAACCGATTTATTGGAGGTACCTACCATATATAAGGCCTATTTTTCAGGCCTATGTAAGGAAATATCCCCACAAAATATGGCCTTATATGGTACAAGACCTCCATTTTAGGATCCTGGAATTCCCATTGATCGAAGTGAATGGGTGATGTTCATCTATTGTCCATGGCTATTGTGAATGATTGTGATAATGTCCATAGCTATGAGAATCTGTACCAAATCGTCAGAATCATCATCGAACTAAATGGGCTAAGGGCTATGTTCATCTATTTTCCATAGCTATTTGAATGGCACCAGAAGCATCATTGGTGGTCCATGGTTGAGCTTCAGGAGCCTTGTCAACGATGTGCGGCCAAATAACTTGGAGGATCATCCCAATCATCCCAGTGCTGAAGAAATATATGATGCAGCTATATCTGGGATAGCTCCACAATTCGGGGACTTACCAACTAGGCTTACTAAGTGGGATGATCCTAGATCATCTTCCCGAAGGCCTGAAAAATGGAAAAATGTCTCCCGGACTGTCAAATCACCGGCTGGACTTCCGGACATCTATCCTACAGTTTTTGTTTTATCTGGTCGGTGGTTTTTCGCCACCCCTCTGAAAAATGATGGAGTTAAAGTCAGTTGGGATGATGTTACTATTCCCAATATATATATATATGGAAAAAAACAATTCATGTTCCAAACCACCAACCAATTATGTTTTTGTTACTGGATATCCCCCAGAGTGCAATAAGACTGACATCTGGTTTGCTTCCCCAGAATTAAAAAGAGAAATTCTTTAGTGGGCCCAAATAAATATAACTAACGCTTTTCTTATAGATCCCCCCCGGTGGTGGATTTCCCAATGGTAAAAATCAACAATGACCTTGAGCAAATCCAAACTTGAACTGAACTAATCCTACTTGCCCTGCTCATATCTGGAGTTACAACCCACTTAGGGACCCTTACTAGCAGCTGAACACGTCTGGTTGGTAGTTTTATGTAACCCATGCAAACTAAAAATAATAATCTCAACCAATCATCCCCTGTATGGTTGAAACATGTTCAAACACAATAAATCTTTGAAACCACCGACCAGGAACTTGCCATTATTAAATATATCATGGCAAAAGTATCATCGCGTACCTAAACAAATAAAACACAATAAAAAACAGAAAAAAAAATATTGACCAATCATAAAAGTATCCCAAATGCTCCATGTATAGTATATTTATCTATATGTGGGTGATTTATGGGGGGTAAATCCTGGTAAATATTCCAGCACCATGGAGCATATGTTTTCTCTTGACCCCCCACCTGACTTTCCCCTTCTGCCAGGACGGTCTAAGAGCCAAGGGCAGCTTTGCTGGTGGCAATGTGCGTGGCGCGCATGGCGCGCATGGCGGAGCGCTGCGCCATGGGAGCATAGCCAGCTGATGTCGAAAGGACAGCTTACTGGCATACACCATGGTTTTGCCAAAGATAGGAGACCCAGGGAGTCTAGATTGTGTCCATTTTAGTCATTAAATCATTGAAGCTAGTGTGGGATGATGAAGACGAAAATTTGATATGGACCCTGATGCATAGCCGGCTGCGCTAGGAAAATTATCCTGCAACAACTTTTATGTTGGGGACTCTCGCAGATCGGCCCCCAGTGCTGTTCCAAACATCCTATTTACATAATATTGTCAACATAAACAACTGACAACCCCTTGGCTGAAGCCAATCCTCAAATTTCCCAATCAACAAACCAACATTCGGATGATTCATGAAATACAAGGTGGTGCCCCCCCAGTTATAAGTTGGTTTATAGCCCCATTAACTATAGATATATCTTCCATAAATCCTAGTTATTAGAATTATGAGCCAACTTTGCTATCTTGGGGGCACCACATTGTATGAATCATTAATTAGTGCATTAGTGCTCATAATATTGATCAAACATGTTTTTTTCCATCATTCAGCATCGATGAATAGGGCCCGGCTCGATGAAACAACACGGCCCGGACGTGGCAGTCGCAGGAGTGCGGTGCACAGCCATGTCTGGAATTTATCACCGTCTTACATTAAACCAAATACATATCCACATATGTTAATATATTATGTATTTGTAATTTGTAATAGGAAACACTGATAGTATATGAACATGGTATTAATATATGGATATGTGTGGAAATGTATGGAAATTTATGGGTATGATCCATGGATATCATGATATTTATGGATATCTATGGATATGTATGGATATTCTTTGAGAGTACGAGCCACAAATCACAAACATATGTTTTTGTTTTAAAGAACCACATGCAACTTTCAAATCGCACCATGAATTGTTCGAGAACTACGGGCTTTGCCCGCTCCATACGTGATCCCAAGGTTGACAGCCAGGCTCGAGACCTTTCTCACTACAAGCCTTTGCTGCTGATTTCCTTCTATCTGAACCAAGAGATTTTACCCTGGGGAGCAAACTAACATTAATTTAGATGTATAAAAAACATGGTTTCCCGTTCAAACAATGATCTACTTTTATGTTTTTTTTTCTCACATCTACATTAGTTGGCAGGAAGGTATAACCTATTCATAAGTTTGACTACCAGCTGGGCGCAGGCACCCCACGGTGTTGGCTAAAACCACTGCCAGCGCCTCCCCGGCGCTCAAGCCGCCTGCACGGCTGATGAAACGGGGGATTTCACAGGGAGAGTTTTCATGTTTTGTTTTTTGTTCCCCATGTGCAAAGAATAACGGAAACTTGGGAGTAACATGTTTTTTTCAATCCACTTTTTTTTCAATACCGAAAACTCCTGTCAATGCATCATTGAAATTGCCGTTGCTGTGGTGTCAGCGAAGGATTGGTGAATGGCTTTAACCTAGTTCCTTTCCATGGCCTTCCACCCATTCACTGCCTGACAAGCCATAGAATACTT